ATAATTAAATAATAAATAATTGTTAAATTTTTTAATGATAATATAAAAATAATTTATTTATATTATTTGTAATTATTAATACAATTAAGAAATATGAATTCATAATATTAATTATTAGAGAATATCGATAATTTTTAAGAAAAAAAAAAGATAGAACTGTACCATTTGTCAATGAAATAGTTTTTAAAATTGGCATTTGAGTGTATCATCGACGTGAAACATCTTACTAATTGGCATGAGTTGGGTTTTTCCAACACAATCAGCAATAAGGAACATGTTACTAAAAAAAGTGGAGCAACTATTCCTCGGATTATCAGCAACAAGAGTCTTGTTGCTAAAAGTAGGGGCCTTACTATTCATGAAACTATCAGCAACATGTCTCATGTTGCTGAAAAGGTACGAAAATTCAATTTCCTGCTTCTGCCAATTATATTTACCAACATGAGCTACTTTCACCGATGTGACTGATGTTGCTGAAAAGAGTGCACCAGATGGGGGGAGAATTTTGGTAACCATTTTTACCGACATGAACCACGTCGGTGAAAGTATACTTTTATCAACGTGGCTCATGTTGTTGAAAAGAGTGCACCGGATGGGGAGAGAATTCTGGTAACCATTTTTACCGACATGAATTACGTCGGTGATATTATGGTTTCAGCAACAAGGAGTATGTTGCTAAAAATGGTGAAAAATTTTAGTGGTCGGTCCGGTAAATTTTTTAGCAACATGAACCATGTCGGTAAATCTCCATTTTTAGCAACAAAAGATATGTTGCTGAAGAAGGTGCCATGTATTGGCAACATGGACCTTGTTGCTGATACATTACCGAGCATGGCTTCACCAAGAAAGGCATCAACAACATGGAGCATGTTGCTAGAGTACTTTTAGCAGCATGGGTAACACTTTCATCGATGTGCTTCCATGTTGCTGAATAATGGAATTTTAGTAGTGTTTACTACTTAATGAAATTTTTTTTTTTTAACATAAAGGGATTAGTTGTTTGGTATACATTTAACCTTAAATCAAAATTTATATATTAATGGACATCAACTTAGTTAAATTTTTATCAAGTACTATATGGTTGTTATAATTTTTTTTTTTTTATTTTTTGCCTTTGGAAACACTAAATACTTTATCCATTCTTTGAAGATGATTAAATCGAATATTGTTGTGTTTAAATCTTTAATAATACTATGCCTTGGCTACGTAGTACCAAACATAAACTAATCCTTGGACTCATAAAAAAAAAAACCACTAATCATCGGCAATGATTGGCTTTTGTGGACACCTATTAGAATCACTTAATCTCTTAACTAAGGAAGAAATTAAATTGACTTGGTTATAAAGGAAATTGAAGCAAAGTAAGAGAAAATTCATTCCCCCCCTTTTATCTCCTCTTTGATTGTTTGTTAACTACACATGGAATTTTTCCTCCTCCTCTTCACTCCTTTCAAATCAAATAAACTATAAATTACTATTTC